CGATAACCAACCAGGGAGGTTACCTCTAACGAGAGTCATCCATTGTCCCTTAAGAAAATTCAGTGTGGCCTTTCATAAATCTGACAATGGCTTATACACTTGTTTTAGTGGTAAAACTATCTAATAAATAGGAATGTGAAAAATGAGAAGACTTTTTTCCCTCAACTATATCAAAATACCTCTACCCTGAGGCACTGAGGTCTCATAACTCCCCTCCTATATTGTTTCTTTCAAGTTTTTTCTTTTTATTCCTTCTAGTTCTCCTATTCTTTTCTACTCCAGGAATTTTATGTTTAAAATTTCTTGTACAGAGCATTAAGCTATGTAAATGCAAAAAGTATACTTATCCATGCTTAATGGAATGTTATTCTTATTCAGCCAAATGAAAGCTAAAATGTGTTTTGGTGGTAACACTCCTAGATTTTTTTCTTTTTTTAACTTAAACATAAAACACTTTTTATTATCCTCACATTCTACTTATTCTCATTATCTTAATTTTTAAAAGTTTAAATTGTATATTATAAATTAATTGCTGTTCAATATCATACAGCATATCTTATCCCTAATGTCCTGACATAAGTAGAAAATGAAAAATCTTTTTAAAATTTACATATATATATCTTATATATATGTATATGTGCATATATATATATATATTTAAATAATTATTTTAACTTTATTTACTTATTTATTTTAATTTGACCAGAGGGGGACAGAGTGAGAGAGAGAGAAAGAGAGAGGGAAAGGGAGAAAGCAAGCCGCCAGGTCCAGGACTTGAACCGTGGTAGGCCATGTGGAATTCTAGTACCCTCAACCACCATGCCGCCTGCTGGCCCCTACACACACACACACACACACACGTGCGCGCACTTTTAAAATTTACATTTTATCACTGTATATCACTTAGATTTTTCAATAACTTCAAACCTGTGTGTGTGTGTGCATGCGTGTATGTGGTGAAGGGGTGGGTCCTGTGGTTTCCATTAGATTCCATCTGTGTCATTCCTCACTATGTGCCAGTCTTCAGAGAATGCTGTAGAATCTGCTTACTTGGGTTCAAATCCTGGCTCTACCATATACTAGGTTCAGTTACCTGGACAAGGTATTTAAACTCTGTATATATCAGTTTTCTCATTTGTGAAAGAATAATTCTATTAGCACTTTATTCATGTGTTGTTAGGAGGAGTAAATGAGTTAATACCTACAAAGTGTTAAAATGGTGCTTGGCAAATGATAATAAAAAAACTGTTTTAGAAACTTTACATGTATCAATTATCTAATCTTCCAAACAATCCCATGAAACAGAAATTGTTACTTTCATTATTACTCTCATTTTATAGCTTAGGAAACTGAAACATAGATTGAATAACTTGTCCCAGTTCAATCAGTTAGTATGCAGAGAACTGGGCTCAAAACCAGGCTGTCTGGGTCCACAAGTACTCAGTAAATGTGACCTATTGTTCTTGTTATTATTACTTGAATTTATGCACTCAGTAAATGTGTAAAGCTGTTGCTGCTAATAATAATGACAAATCTGCATGTCTAATCCTTCTTCAAAGTGTATTCAAAATATATGAGGGGCCCTCAAAAAGTTTGTGGCAAATGTGATTAAAATATGAGTTTATCTTGATGCAAACACCACTGAAAACCATGCACAGTTTTTTTCATGATAGACATTCTCTGGAACTTTTGAAGACCCCTCAAGCATAATCACCAATGGAATAACTGACTTAGGCAATATTGCCTAAAATCATCGAGTGAAAGTTTTTTTGGGGAAATAGGGTATTATCAAAGTATCAGAATGCAACCTCCTCAGATTATTTGCTAATTGCAAAGGAGAAAAACAATACCTTTACCACAAGAAATCCCTGTAGTAAGATCACTACCTTTAACCATGATCAAACTTGGCATGAAAAACAGTAGACGACCCGTCATTACATGCCTCCGGCTAAGATGCAATATGGAGCACATAGTGGGACCTTGTAAAAAATGTTCAGTCAAAATCTAATCATGCTTTTAGTCCTAACTTGGATTTCCAGAAAATTCTGGGGATAGAGGAACAAATTAATCCCAAGGCAACAAGAAATTTAAAACATGGAATGTGTTCTATATTAAATAACTGGCTTAATCTTTCAAAAAGTCCAATGTTAGCGTAATGGCTATGTCACTGGACTCCCATGTAGTCGACCGCAGTTCGCATCCCGGAGCCGGTGGCTTAAAACACACCGGGCGCATGTGCATGTGTGCTCAGGATCCCGAGAGGAGAACGAAGGAGAAGGGATTGCGGTGTGGCCATCCCCCCGGGGGGTGATTTCTCGCTGTCTCTCTGTCTGTCTCTGTCTATCTGGCGAGCGCACGTGCCCTATAGCAAAAAAAAATCTCTCCAAAAAAAAAAAAAAAGTCCAATGTTGAATAAAGAGACATAAACCCCAAATGCAAAATGTTTTTTATTAGTATTTATTATTTTTTTTATTTTTTGGGGGGAGGTTTATGCTATAGGGTGAGTGTGCTCGCCACAAAGAAAGAGACAGAGAGACAGAAAGTGAGAAATCAACCCCCCCGGGGGGGGGTGGCCATGCCACAATCCCTTCTCCTCCATTTTCCTCTCGGGATCTTGGGCACACACGCACACACGCCTGGCATGAGTTTAAGCCACAGTGTTTGGGACTGGAACTACGGTTGACTACATGGGAGCCCAGCAACATAGCCATTTCGCCAACTGCTGGTCCCCCCAAAATGTTTTTATTTTTAAAAACTAGTTCATGTTTTTTCTTTAATAGTATAGAAGACATTTGGGAAACAAATAGAGAAGGTTAAACATGAAATGGATATTAGATGATATTTTGAAATTACTGATCATCTTAGGTATAGTGATGGTACCGTGATGATATATGAGAATGTCTTATTCTTAGATATATATTGAGTTATTTAGGAGTGAAGTGTCATTTTATCTGCAACTTACAAGTAATTCAAGAAAAAAAGCAAACAGATAAGGCAGATATAGCAAAAAGTTAGCAATTGTGGAACCTAGGTCGTGAGTATAAAGGTACTCGTATTAATTTTTCAACATTTCTTATATTCAAACATTTTTTTCATCGTAAGATATATGTCTTAAATCTTTGGAGAGCATGTAAAACTTTTATCATCATATATTTGATAAAAGTTTATTTTAGTTTTTGAAATGTTGTCTATGAATGTATATTTGAAAAGCAAGCTAATTATAAAAATTATTTATTGAAACCTAATAATAACACTGTTGAGAGAACTCAGTGCCTACTTGAGGGCCTGACACACAGTAATTGCTCAATAAATATTTATTTTTTAAAAAGCTGTATTTTAAAATAGAATAAATTAAAAAGTAGAGACTCATGTAGCTGCATTATTCTTTTACAGATCAAGATATGCTGGGCTAATACTTTAGGGGGACAAAATGGGGTCAACAGGCTCTGTCCTTTGATTCAGATAACTCAGCTCATGGAAATTCTTGAACAGGTTTTCAGTTTGTTATTAAAGGACATGAAAATAAAGAATTTGTCCTTAGGACTAATTAATCCATTAGCAACTATTACTTACTTAAAAAATTCTGATGGAATCACACTTGATACATTTTTGAACAGTCATAGATGTTTCTTGATCCACCAAGAGAGGCAAGCTCTGCTTGAGTTTAGACATGAACACTTTAATTCACCAACATCAGTAGGTGCTATTCTCTGAGGACCATTAAATATGTGGGAACTAGTATCATTTTCAGATCTTCCACAAGGCAAAGACTCTTAAAAGAGATGGCTTCAGGTAGTAAGTGAGATCCATTTTGTATAAGAAGTGGAAAGAAAATGATCAAGATTTAAAGAAATAATTAATAATGATACCGTCTTGTATTTTCATAGTGCTTTTTTCCTAAGGTACTTCCTATCTGTGTTAATTCACTTATTCTTACAATATCCCTATAAGGTAGACATAGAACAACTGAAATTTGAAAAAGGGGGGTTTTCATCAAGGTCTAAGATGTGGAAGGCATTCAAAAGGATATTATATTAGCAACAGGGACATTTTTTCATATTAAACAGATTGATCACCTCCTTCCCCTCTGCCTCAGTAATGTCATTTTAAAAAAGATAAAACCTATTACAATTTAGGGAGAATAATGTAATTCTTTACTGCAATGGGAGACACTCCGAAGTTCAATCTAAAAAGGTAGTTTTATTCAGTGATATGGGACAACTGTCTTTTATGAAAAAAAAATTAAGATAGTTCTTGACAAGGATACAAACCAGAATTTTAAAAAAATCAAAATTTAAATGCACTTAGGTGGTTTTCTACTTATTCTTTATGTAATACTGAATGTGTTTGTGATGATAACTTTTACTTTATAAATATAAAGTTTTATAACAGGTTATCAAAAGAATAACTTCTGCTCAATGTTCTTTCTGAAACTAAAAATGAGAAAGGAAAAAAGGACCTACTGAAAAAGCAAAGTTTATGATAAATGCAGTTACTTAGAACACAAGATTATTTGACTTGAGGTCTCTAACCTGTAGATAATATATGAACACATGAGATCATTTCCAATTGGTTTTTAGAACTTAAACATTTCCCACCACCTCTAAATTTATCTAGGGATGTATAATTTAATAATATGCAAATTAAGTTACCTATACTTTACTACTAAGGCCTAATTCCCAGTATGTAAATATGATAATTTTTAAGTTAGCGATATCTTCGGTGGGTGTTTTCAATGTTTATGTTCAGGAAGAGTTGGGACAAAGAGCATAAAGGAGCTATTTTCAGTTAGAACACTTAACTTGGAGAGTCATTAAGATATAGTTTGACTATTGATAAAAAGATACAGATATCTTTTTAAAATAGTTTTCAATGTGAAGTTTTCTTTTTGTAAAGGAATACAAACTAGTGTTTTGTTTTGTTTTGTTTTTTGGTAAAGGTAATATAAATACCTAAATACCAACAAAAGTAGGAATTGGAGCAGAGATAGAAATCCTGACCTCAGAGTGCTGCTGTTCATTCATTGTTGCTCAGGCCTTCACCGTTCACTATACACACTTCGGATTAAATGCTGACTATGGTGAAGTGGAATCATCATTCTGGGACTCCAGGATCTAATCTTGCCCCAAGATGTCTCTGAAGACAATTAATAGAGTTTTTCAAGTTACAGGCTAGATAAGGAATGTTTATTTGATAGAAGTCAAATACTATCACCACAAACACTGTCACAGCAAAAGATTTAGAGACCTTAGCTGATTGACTAAAATATTAAAAGAAGTATTTGGAGAATCCATGAGATTCATTTTAATTCGGTTTGACTCAGAGAAATGATAAAATGGTCCAAGGTTTCCAGCTTGTGTACCCATGTTATGTAATGACATACCTTTTGGAAGAGAAGAGATTGAGTTTGTCTTGTTTTTGACACCGAGTTAGTAGAGTCTTCTCTTGCAAGAAGGAAGATGAATGCAGACACCGAAATTACTGCATTTCAAAATACAGATCCACCTTGAGCAGTCTTCCATATAACAGTGAAAGAGCGTGCAACTCACAGATCCATGAACAGTGCCTCCTCCTCGCTATCTCTTACTCCCTCCTCAAACTACCCCCAGTCAGCCCTGTAGTCTGTAGGCAAACCACACAGGAACTAGCAGATATGGGGCTTCAGAGGGTTGGGCGTGAGCCTTAGATTATGTGGTTTTGTTTGCTTACTGCCAGAGTTGAACGAAAATGCAGGAGGTTCGCTAAAACACTTTTGTTTCTTTTTGCTTGGTTTCAGTTTTAACAATACCCCTCCTGAGCACTTAGGTTCACATAAGAAAATTTCTAATCCTAGATATGGACTATCAGCAAGCCACTGCTGGTCTTAATGAAAACCCTCAATCTCTTAGTTTATTCATGTACCCTGAAAAATATTAGGGCTTCTTGAGGAAATTTAAGACCACTCTCTCACTTGCAAAATTAAAATCCCAGAGAAAATGCTTTCTCAGTGTACTCGTCCCTTAGTATTATTCTTAACCCATGATATTGCTATTGACAAAGAAAGAAGAGATGCACTGAAGTTGGGATGAGTTCTAATCCCAGGTTTGCCACAGTCCAGCAAGAACTCTTCCATAAGAGTTCTGAAACTTTACTTTTTCTTGAGAAGCCTGGATTTAAAGGCTTTCTGGGATTTAAAGAGTTTTCACTGACTTAGAGTTTTGTCACCTTCAACTTTCTTAGTTCCTACCTTCCAATTTATAACTCGCTCTCTCATTCATAACTTGTGAAGGCCTCTTCCTTTCTCTTTGCTTTTGCTAGAAAATGGATTGCCAACATTGAATATTTTGCATGAAATTAGAGACGTTGCTACTTGCTAAGTGAAATAGTCAAAGTTTGGGGACTGGACCCAAGATGAAGAGGGAAACATTGACTCATAGGGATGTTCTTTGGGATTCTGAAATTTAAACCTATCTTGCACTATGAAATGGCATTATTCTAAGATTTTTTTTGCCTCTTTAGATCTAAAATGGGCCCAAGATTTACCTTTATATCCTTCAAAAAAATCCTTTCCTTGATTATAATTGTTCAATATTTTTACTGAAATAGGAAAAAAGGATCTGTTGAACAATCTGCAGAGTGTCAGGAACAGCAGATAATGTAATAATTATGTTACTAGACTCCTACATAGTTGACCATGGTTTGAGTCCCGGACCTGACAGCTTGAGAGTCATGCTGGGTGTGTGTGTGTGTGTGTGTGTGTGTGTG